ACACTGCAAGTGAGTGAGAAAGAGGTACCCTCCAGCTGCCCCCACCTCTCTCTCCCCCTCCCTCCCTCCCTCCTTCTCCCCACTTCTCACTCTCTTCCCACTTCCACTCTTGCAGCCTCACTTCTCTCTCTGGGCTTCTCTCTCTCTCTGTGACAGCCAAGGAGAACTTTAGAGTCCAACTCCATTTGTTTCACTGATGAGAAAACCTTGGTGCAGAGAGAGAGAGACGCAGGAACAGGGTCACAGAGCTAGACTGCTCCCCGGATGGAGGGATCCTGGAGGGGGCACAATCCACCTCCCCTCCCCTCTCCCCATCACCTTCCCGGCATGCCAGCATAGTCAAGGATGCCACAGATGATGAAATCCATTCATTGGACAGAACTTTATGAAGCACCTACTGTGTGTCATGCACACAGGGGCTTAGGATGCAGCAGTAAACCCAAGAGACCAAAATTCTGCTTCCTTTCTAGTGGGGGAAGTAGATAATAGGCAAGTTAAGTGAGAGAAAGCATAGAGGATATTGGATAAGTGCTATGGAGAGAAATAAAGCAGGGAGGGGGGTATCTGGTCAGATAGCAAGGAGCAAATTTAAATAAGGTCATTGAAGGAGGTCACTCTGGACAAAGATCTGAAGGAGGGAAAGCAGGAAGCTTGGAGCAGAGCCAAAGGGAGAGAGGGGTGAGGGATGGGGCCGGGGGAGGGGTGGCTTGTGGTCATGTGGGTCTTGGGCTTTTTTTCTGATTGCCCAGGACAGAAATCAGTCAAGGAAAGCTTCCTGGAGGAGACAGAGACACTTGTTTGGGGTCTTGAGGCAAGTAGAACTCTGGCAGCTAAAGATGGTAAGAGAAATAGTATAATCTGATGGTTAAAACTCCCCCTTTGGAAGCCCAGGTTCAAGTCCTGGCTCCCTTGATAGTTCCCTGTGGGACCTCGGGCAAGTCCTTTACCTCTCTGAGCTGGTTTCCTCATCAGCAAAACAGCTCTAATTCTAATCTCTACCTCCCACAGTGACTGACAAAATGAAATGAGGCAGAACAGACCCTGGCCCAGGTGCTCGATATATGTTTGCTGGCGTCCTTCTGGGAAGGAGCTCATTCCTAGGAGTGCCCTAACAGGGTCACCAGGCCAGGCCCCGTCCCCTCTTCCCTTCCCGCTGGCCCCCAGCCCTCCAAGCCCAGTTTGGTCTAGACACCAGGTGAGTAACTGCCAGGGGCTGAGGGTCTTCTTTGGAAGGGAGCCAGAGTCTCATCATCTACAGCCTTTCCTCCCATCCCAGGACCTTTGCACATGCTGTTTCTACTGCCTGGAGCACTATTTCCTTTCTGTCCCTTTCACCTGATTACTTCCTAGTTGGATCTTAGCCTAAAGGTCACTGACTCCAGGGCAAACATCCTTGCACCCCACCAGGGTAGGAGCCCCTGCCCCACGCCCTCCCACTCCTGAACTTTTTTCTCTCAAATCTTATCACAGTCCGGAATGGTGTCTGTCCCTGCCGCTAGACCAGGAGACTGTGTTGGCCTTGTTCAACATTATGTCCTTTGTACAAAGGAGGCACTCAAACTGTAATAGTCAGCAAAAACCAGAAATCTGTTTCAAATTGCCCAATCCAATCTCTCATCTGTTACACATAAGGGACTCTGAGGCACACTGTCCACACTGCATGGCATCTCTCCGGCCCAAGTCTGCTCTCTTCCCAAGGCACCCACAGAACTGCCCACCCTCCTTAGCCCCTTGGACCCCCAGGGCTTTCCCTGCCACCTCTGCAGATTAATGGTGAGCCAGCTCAGAGAGGAAGCACCCGGCCGAAGCACGTTTAATTTTAATTTAGGAATCAGTTAAGGCTGCAGGCCTGCTCAGCACTGGGCTGTCAATCAGCCTTCCTCAAGGCTGCATCAATTAGTTTAAAAATATTGAATGTAATTTTGCCTGACACAACATATTGCAGCTACTGCAAAATATAATTTATTTTAGAAGAAGAAATAATTAAACTAATTTGCATGTCAGTCAGCTGAACTGAGATGCCAAGAGATGGGGGGTGGACCCGGGGGGGGCCCAGCCCCCCGGAGAGGGCACCTACTGCTGGGCGTTGGGTGAGGTCATCCTGGGCCCGGGTCTGAGCAGTAGCTGCAGCTGGATGGACAAATACTCAGGCAGCTGGAAGGCCCACTGGCATTGCATCTAGACCAAGCACTGGACATAGAGTTGGGAGACTCAGGACCCAACCCCAGCTCTGCCACTGACTCACCTGTGGCTTTGGTCTTGCCCCTTTCTGGGCTTCAGTTTCTCCATCTACAAAATGGGTTTACAAAGATCTCTTTTCTAGGTTCTGAGTCTCAAATGAGCTCATAGATAAGAAAGTTTGTTATAAGTTGGAATGTCCTGCACGGAGATGAAGATTAATTAATTGAGGGAGTCACTGTTTTAGACCAGAAACATTGCAGGTGGTAAAATTATGCATTATTATCAGTTATTACAAATGATGCTAACTGTGGTCAGGAGGGTTTTGGAGGAAACCAATCAGAGGCGAGGGTCGATGGGACCCTCCCCTAGCACCAGCCAGTCACCCCAGGGCAGTAGTTTGCAGTACTTGCTGCATATTAGATTCACCCGGCATGGTTAAAAAACCATCAAAGACCGAGTCTTGGGCATCTGTATGTTTTAAAGGCTTCCTAGGTGGTTCTAATGAGCCAGGCTGGAGACCTCCATGATGTCAAGGACACAGGATGCTGATTTAGGGCCTGCCCATGAGCTCTAAAGGTTCCAGGCCAGCCCCCAACTCACAGGTCGCTGGGATAAGCTCTGTAGGTGGCAATTTTGGCGATGTACAGGCACACCTCTCAGCTGCCCCTGGCCCCTGCCTTAGATCTGAGACCCTCACTCAGGCCAAAGGATTCAGGGCTTTCCCAAGAGATGACCTGTGACATTTAGAAGGAGGAAATAGAACAACAAAATGGTAATTATGTAAGATAAAGGTGTACTAACTAATCTTACTGTAAACATTTTGCAATATATAAATGTATCAAATCATCACATTTTACACTTATACAATATGTCAATTATGTCTCAAAAAACTGGAAATTAAAAAAAAAAGAAGGATGGAGAAACCCAGCAGAACCAAAGGAATGGCACAATAATGGGGGTCTCACCAGCAGTGGACCCAGCCCTCCAGCAGGGTATCTGCCCAGTGAGGGTCGCATACTACTCTGCGGTCTCCCTTCTTCCTCAGTGTGGAGAGAGGTGCCTGTTCCTGGCAACCGGCCTCACGCTCCCCTCCTCCCCTCCTTCCTCCCCTCCTCCCGAAAGCACCCACCGGCTGGCTGTTTAAGTTCTCCGGCAAAACACTCTTAAAAATAACAGCTCACCCGGTATTCCCAGTCACGACTTCCATCTCCCGCCCCCGGAAAAGCCCCCTCTAATCGCTGAAGCTGCAGATCTGGGTGAGCTGAGAAGATAAGGTGCCCCTGGCTAAGGGGAGCTCCAGAGAGGTGTCAGGGTCTGAGTTAATTAAGGACTCCCCCTTCCCCTGTTCCCTTCCCTGACCCCCAGGAGGTGGCCGCACCTGCCTCCCAATCTCCATTTCTCTCTTTATCAACACACAAGCAGCTGCAGTCGGCAGCCAGTGGGCCCTGGAGTTCAGAGAAAAAGGCGGCAGACCAGCCCCACTCCCCCGCAAACTCACGGGGCTCCTGGCTGCCTGGAAACTTCCAGGCTGCCCCCCAAATAGCTCCTTACCAGGCTTCATTCATTTATTCATTCAGCAAACCTATTGGAACCTATTCTGTGCCACACCCCCACAATGCTGGGGCCCCAGGAACTAACAGGACAGAGGCCTTAACCTCAGAGACGTCACAGTGGAAGGAGTGGGGACGTCATGATTTTGCTGAGGACCCTGGCCAAGACCCTCCTCGGGTGGGTTTGTCTTGCCCTCTCAGGATCGGGTCTTGAAAGGGCACAGGTTTGGGACTTCAGTTGCCAGCTGACCTCTTCTTTAAATTTTCCCATGTTTTAGTTTCTCTTCTGTGGTATGGAGGTAGGAATTGTACCAAACCACCGAATTTGTGCCAGCATGCCTGAAAGAATGGGGGAGGATGCTCCAGGATCACCCTGTGCCCTCTATGGTGATAGGATGGAAATGGCAATGGTGATGATAGTGTTGTTGGGGGTGGGAGTGGGCGTGGTGATGATATGGGTGATGATGGCGGGAGTTATGACAGTTTTGGCGGGGCTGGTAATGACAGTTGTGGCGGAGATGGTGAAGACAGTGATTTTATTGGTGATGGTTGTGATATTGGTGATGGTGGCAATAGGGGGATGGTGGTAGTGGTAAGGGTGGTGATAGCAGTGGCTTTCATGTTTGTGTTGGTGGCAGAGACGAGGAAGGTGGTACTAATGGATAGGGGGGTAGTGGTATCGATAATTCTAATGGTGATGGTAGTGATGATCTAATGGTGATGGTAACAGAGGAGTGGTCATGGCATTGGTGATGGTGATAGTGGTGAGGATGGTGATGGTGGTAGTGACAGTTATGTTGGTGCAGGTGGTGATGATAATGCTAATGGTGGTGGTGGCAATAATGATTTAATGGTGGTCGTGGTAATAGTAATGGAGATGGTGAAGGTAGTAATGGTGGAGATGATGCTGTTGGTGATAGTGATGGGGTGGTACTGGTGATTATGGTGGTGGCGGTTGTGGTGATGCCAGTGGTACCAGCACTACTAATGGCAATGGCAGTGATGGTGACAGTGACAGTAATGGTGGTGTTTACATTGATGATCTAATGGTCGTGATGATGATAGCAATGGTGGTGATGGTGGTAACAGCTATGGTGATGATGACCCATTTAGCCAGATGTCCTCAGTCCTGGTCCTAGTATGAGCTTGATCCACCCACAGTTCTCTCTCAGTGTGACCCCACCGCCTAATCTTGTCCTAGCAGTAGGTGGGGATTGTCTGGATCTCATACTTGTTGCCTCTCACCCTACTCCTGTGCTCCTGTTACAGACAATCATGCCCAGCTATCCCGGGCTTCCCTAAGGATCCGAATCCTGGATGTGAATGACAATCCCCCAGAGCTGGCCACACCCTACGAGGCAGCTGTGTGTGAGGATGCCAAGCCAGGCCAGGTACCGCTGACAGCCTGGGGACAGGGGGTGGCTGCCAGGACTGGCCAGGGCACCCTCTACTCAAGCCCGAGTGGCCCCAGCCTTACATCAGCTCCCTGCCCCCTCCTCACCCTTCAGCTCATCCAGACCATCAGCGTAGTGGACAGAGACGAGCCCCAGAATGGGCACCGCTTCTATTTTCGCCTGGTGCCTGAAGCTCCCAGCAACCCTCATTTTTCACTGCTCGACATCCAAGGTGAGTTACCTCTGAACCACCAAATCCAAGGATCCGTGGAAGGAGGGGCCTGGCCTCCTTGCCGCCTTCCCATATTACAGATAGAAAGACTGAGGCACCCAGGGGGCCAGTGTTGGGTCCAAGATCACACAAAGTCTGGACCAAGTGAGAGCTGTTACCCAGACCGCTCGCCAGACACTGAAGAAGGAGGTGGTTTGGCAGAGCCATGGGGGTGGCATCCTAAGGGTAGAGAATGGTAGTGGAAAGATCCAGAGAGGGGATGCATGAGGAGTGGGTGGGCCAGTGTCCAGGATGGAGAGAGCCCCTGGTCTAAGTGAAGACTGGAATAAGCCACATGCACGCCCTCCCACCCTACTGTTTAAAATGTGCTTTAACCCATTCATGTTTCTCTTTGCATCCTCACTGTCACCTTGGGAGGTGGTTTGCTTACCCACCCCCATTTTGCAGATGATGAGACTTTAACAGGATAAGGGTCATATAGGGAGTCAGTGGTGAGGCCAGGATTCAGACCCACACCTGTCTCAGAGGCAGCGTGCTGCCTGCCTTAGCTCGCTGCCTTGAAAGCAAACTGCCCAGCCCAGCCTGAGCTGATCCCATGGTGAGGCACTGCCCTGCAAGTTCCCCTTCAGCAAGAAGGTGAAGTATGAATCTTTGAGATGTTGACCAGGGGACAGGGAGTGAGGGACCTGGGTCCCAGCCTAGGCTCAGTTGATGGCTTTCTATGCAACCCTATGCTCTGCCTCAGTTTCATCACCTGTAAAATGGGGCTGAAAATGCCTGCCACCTCAGGCAGCCAGGTGGCCCCAGTGAGATGTGGGCTAACAAGGTATATTGTCAGAACCTAGAACATGGCAGTAACTTCATTCAGCAGTAATTTACTGAGCATTTATTGAAACACAGTGCTGAGGGGGAGGGTATAGCTCAGTGGTAGAGCATATTTAGCAAGCACGAGGTCCTGAGTTCAATCTGCAGTACCTCTGTTAAAAATAAATTAATAAATAAATAAACAAACCTAATCCCCCCTCAATTTTTTTTAATAAATTAAATTTTAAAAGAAAGAAACACAGTGCCTACATGTCAGGACCCCATTCTAGGTTCCAAAAATGCAACAGCAGAAACAAGGCAAAATTCCTGCCCTCATGGCATTTTACATTCTACAGAGGGGAAACAGAAATTGAACAAATAAATAATATTATGGGGATGACAAGTGGCCAGCAGTAAGGAATGATGCAATCTTCACAATAGTGTGGACTTTGTTTTTAGTGCTGGACCCTGGGTGCCTGGCACATAGTAGGTGTTGAATAAAATATGTTAAACAAAACGGAAAGCAAGATAAAAGTAGAAGGTATTTTAAATAAGGGGGTTTAGGAAGGCCTCTCTGAAGGAATCCATAGTGAGTACGGATCTAAAGGAAGTGAAAGGGTGAGCCATGCAGACAACTGGACAAAGAATGAACCAAGTACAAGAAACAGCAAGTGCAAAGGCCCTGAGGTGGGAGCAGGCCTGGAATGTTTGAGATCTGCGTGGTTAGGGTGAGTGAGTGACAATGCTGGAGGAGATGTAGTCAGGGAAGTACTAGGAGCCAGATCACGTGGGTTCCTTCCGACCTTGGAACAGGTCTGGAATTACCCCCAAGACCTTGACACCACTTTCCTCAGTGACCTCTGAAGCCAGACCCATCTGTATTTCCAGGAGTCATATTAAAAATATTTAACAACTTGTGCAGTTCAGATAACCCATCAGAAGGACACTGACTATAAATAGTCTGGAGTAGGACCCTGGAGCCTTCGCTGTGCCAAGCTTTAAACCCTTAGTGCCCTGGTTGTGTTAAAGTTGGGGGTGTGCTTGAGGGAGAGGCTGAGGCAGCAGGGAAGGACTTGGGGGACTCAGAATCATGGCTACTTAAATCTTTTTGGAACTATTTCAGTATTTTAACAACTTTAATGACCTGTACTGCCCTGCCTGCTTATTATAGCAATGGTATCCTAAGCTGGCCCCAGGAGACATAAATAGTCCTGGCTTGACCTCACCAAGTTCAGAAATCTTTCCAACCCCAGGGGCCGGAGGTTCTGCCCCAACTGCCTCTCTTTGGCCAGGGATGGGGGTCTGGTTTGGCTACCAGGGCTCCCATCCAGTGTGACCACCTGATAGGAGCCCTAGGACCAAGGGTGGCGGCAGCGTGCTGAGGTCAGCACAGTCAGGGAAGGGCTCCTCCTCCAATCCCCCAACCCCTTCCCACGGAATGCCAAGCCCCCTCCTCCTCACCATATAAATATCCAGGTTGACAAACGGCTACCCCAACCCATCTGTTTCTTTGTACAAATTTGTAGCCAGTTTGGAAATGTGATTTATAAATATTGCTTTTGCAGCCAGGGATTGACACTGATGTATGTCAGTCCAGATGGATGGATGCAGTGCTGGGCGCAGATCCCGCCTAGAAGGGTGGGGTAGGGGTCTGGGGTGGCCAGTGGCTTCCCAAATGAAGCCAGCTGCTGCCTAAGAGGGCAGCTAAGGGGTACAGGGATGATGCTCAGGGATTCCCACTGACGGAGTGACAGAGTAGCAGGGACCAGAGCTCTCAAAACATATGGCTCCATGGTCAAAGACAGCAACCCTGAGAAACAAACATCTCTTCTCCCCTTCTCTGTTCTTGCTTGGGAATTTGAGGCTGAGCCAGAGCCAGCGTCTCATTTTTCAAATCTGTCTACTTCTCTCTGCCTCCACTACCACTATTATTTCACATCTAAAACACACAATAGCTTCCTAACTGGTCTTCTGCATCCACTCTTGTGTTTTGGATTAGAGGCTCCCTTGCCTAGCATCTAGGCTCAGTGGGGGCAGGGACCATGACTGTCTTGTTCATTGCTGTATCCTCAGGGGCCAGAATAATCCTGACCTGTAGAAGGTATTTAATTAGTATTTGTTGTTGAATGGATGGATGATATGTCACTAGGTTGCTTCTTTGCTTAAGTCCCACCCATCAATGGTCTCCTATTGCCTTTAAGAAAATAATGCAAATTCCTTACCCTGGCCTCTAAGACTTTCCATAGCAAGCGCCTGCCTCCCCCTCCAGCCTCTGCTTGGTGCACTGTAGCCATCACCCTCCCACCTCCAGCCGCGAAGGACTGCTCTCAGTTCCTTGAGTGTATTATACTTCTTCCAACCTCAGGACCTTTGCATGGGCTATTCCCACTCCTAGAACTCATTGTTCAGGACTCAGCAATAATACCACTTCTTCCAAAAAGTTCCCCCTGACCTCCTGGACTGGGTCAGGTCCTCTTGATAGATACTTTTCCTGTATTCTTCCTTCTTAGCACTTACCATGGTTTGCAATTGTGGACTAAATTGTGGATTTATATGAGTAACATTTGTCTCTCAATAAGGCCATAAGGCCAGATCCAGGACTGTAGTTGGTTTAGCTCTGCTTTATTTTTCCCCTGTGACTAGCATGGTGCCTAACACATAGTAGTTACTCAGTAAAGATTTATTGGATGGATGGGTGGAGGAAGGATGGATGGATGGGTAGAGGATGGCTGGATGGATGATTGGATGGATAGGTGGAAAAGGTAGCTAGGCTACCAGTTCACAGGATAAATTCAGATATGTCCCTTCTCTCTGAGCCTCAACTTCCACGTATATAAAATGGGAATACTGTCACAACTCTTGACAGTTCTGAGGATTAAACATCATGACATACTTAAGGCATCCACCCAGTCCTCGATGCATCAAAAGTACGCAGTCAGTGCAAAGGAGTCCCACCCCATCCCTTCTTTTCCTCATCTTGCTCTTGAGCCTCTCTTTCCCAGGGGAAGGCAGATGTTGTCACAGCTGGGGTTGACTCACCCTTTGACAGAAGGGCTAAAGTTCAAGCCAGAGCTCAAGGGTCTGACCCCGGACCACCAGTTAACCCTCAAAGATGTGGTTCATTCAAGCACCACTCTTCAAGGCTGGCTCAGTGCCAGGGAAGAGACAGGCACCTTCTACCTTAACACAATGTGACAAGTACTGTAATAGAAGTGTGCCTGGCACCTGTATAGTCAGAGCCAGGGGGTGGGGAGCCATAAATCCTTCCTTCCCAGGGAAGCGGAGAAAGGAGGCCACAGAAAGGAGGTGACATTTAGCTGGAGCATGACAGATGAGGAATTTGCCCAGGCAAGAAGGTGGAGAGGGTGTTCTAGCTAGCGGGAACTTGGTGAATAAAGGCAGAGCAGACTAGACAGAGAGTGGAGGTGGGGTGCAGCCCATGGGGGTGGGGCATGACAAAAATAACAGGTAGCATTCATGGAGAATTGCTCTGTCTTGGGAGCTATTCTAAGCATTATTGTACTATTAAATCCTCACACCTCTGTGATGCTGTTGTCCTCAGTTGCAGGTAAGGAAACTGAGGTCCAGAAAAGCTAAGTGACTTTCCCAAGCTAGTACATGATCGACGCAGCTAAATTAGTTTGTAATATTTTTATGGGAATTTTCAAATCTGTGTAGAAGTGGATAGAATAACACAATGAACCCTCATGTGCCTATCACAAGAGCTTCAACCCACGACCAGTCTTGTTTCAGCGGGACCTCCAATCTACGTCACAGATGTGCCCAAGGTCACAAGTCAGCCCTTCCAAAGGCTCTTTTTCCTGCATTGTGTCCATGGAGGCCAGGATAGGCACACTGAATTGAGGGCTGTTGGGAAGAAGCTGAGTTAACTGCGGAAGGGGCCCAGACTGTCAAAGTCTAAAGCCAGAGAGACCAGCCTGAAGACTGCAAGGGTGGTGAGATGGACTCAGGAGGGAGGCCTGGGCCCCCAGAAGGAAGCAGGGCCCCCTTTCTTGGAACCAGCTGGCTGCGGAGGGTGGGGGCAGCAGCCGGCTGGACTCAGAGTCCTTCTATACCACTCCATTGGCAGCCACCAAAACGATCTCGGGTCTGTGCAGGCCTGAGCCATACAGGAGAGGTGTGGCGGAGTCAGGGGAGCAGGGAAGTGGGCACACCCGCCCCCCAGCCCATGTTCTACACCCACCCCGCCACGTTCAGATACCCGTCCCCCGAGTCCTGACGGGCGCTCCCAGTGCGATGAGTATGACTCATGTGAGTTCGCTGTCCTCTCTGGCCACAGGCATCAAAAAGAAAGAGGTGGGAGAGGAGACCTTGGTGCCCTAGGGTCTCTCCATCAGGCCTGAGGGACCATGCCCCCGGCTCTCCAGGCTCAGCTCCTAGACTCCTGACAGAAGTTTCCCTCAGCCAAAGGCAGGTGGCAGCCCAAGTTCCCAGTCTTCTCTGATGACCCAGGACTTGTCATGGTCCAGCTAGCCTCAACCCAAGGACCACAGGACCCCGGGGTCAGGATGCATTGGGTGGCTGGGGTGGAATCTGGAACCAAAAAAGGCTGTTGAGACAGATGGCAAAAAAAAAAAAAAAAAATTGACACAGCCAGGGACAGGACTTTGGCCCAGCTGGGGACAGAATCTTGGAATAGCTGGGGACAGGACCTTGGCCCAGCTAGGGGACAGAATCTTGGAATAGCTGGGGACAGGACCTTGGCACAGCTGGGGACAAAATCTTGGAATAACTGAAAACAATTTTGAGACAGGAGGGAATACTCTTAGGACAGCTAAGGACAGAATTGTGGGCTGTATGGCGGGGGACAGGATCTTCAGGCAGCTGGGGCAGAATTTGGGGACAGCCGGTAACAGAACTTGGGGAGATCAGGGAATAAACCCAGGGGTCAGCTGGGAGGCAGTAGTTGGGGGCAGAGGGAGGCAGATCCTAAAGTAGAATCAAGAGGTGGCTGGGACAGGGGAGGCTGCCCCCAGACCCCAAGTCACACGCCACTCCCTTTTTCCTGGTGCAGACAACACGGCCGCGGTGCACACACAGCACTTGGGCTTCAACCGGCAGGAGCAGGACGTGTTCTTCCTGCCCATCCTGGTGGTGGACAGTGGGCCACCCATACTGAGCAGCACGGGGACACTCACCATCCGCATCTGTGGCTGCGACAGCTCCGGCACCATCCAGTCCTGCAACACCACCGCCTTTGTCATGGCTGCCTCCCTCAGCCCTGGCGCCCTCATCGCCCTTTTGGTCTGTGTCCTCATCCTGGTTGGTGAGTCTGCCAAGAGCCAGCCCCTCTCCCCAATTGGGCCCCATCCTCGGACCCTGGGTTTCTTTCCCTAGTAGCCCCCATACGGTCTCACTTTCCCTCTCCGCGCAATTAAGGGCTGGCCTGAGTGATCTCCGAGTTCTAACATGCAGATCCTATGAGATGTCTCCTAAATACAGAGCACCCCCACCACCAGCTCCAGACAGTGTCAACCCCCACCGGAGACTAAGTTTCATGCTGGCCCACTCTCTCCATGGCCGAAACTGTCCGTAATTTTTAAAAAGCAGGCATATTTAAAAAAAATTCTCTCATGTCTATTGTCCTCTTTTATTCTCTATGTAGGACTTAATTCTCTATGTAGTAAAAAGAGCTCTTTTGAACCATCTTGTCAGCCAGATGTATCATCCCCATTTTTCAGATGAGGAAACTGAGGCTCAGAGAGGTTAAGTGGCTTGCAAAAGGGGACGCAGTTAGTCCTCTGACTTGAAATCAGGTCTTTTTGTTCTATATTCACTGCTCCTTTAACTACCCCACCTGCTATGAATCTAAACTGGGGGCAAAATCTTGGGGAAGCTGGGGTAAAATCTGAAGACATTTTGTAGGGCAAAATCTACTCTCGTATTAGTTCCACTAGCAGCCAGTCAAGCCCTTCAAGTGAAGAGGTCAAATGAAGAGGTCAGGTTCCAGGAGCTAAACTGGATTTAGGTGGTCACCATGCCTCCTCTCACTGTCGAAGCAGAAAGGCCTCACCTCAGTCCTGATTACTGGACTTCATGGAACAGTCAGAGCCCAAGGAACTCAAGAAAGGACCAGATTGTTCACTCAGTTCCCTGGGAGATTCATCTGCCTCCCACGCCTTGCTGCCCACCCCTGGGGAAGCTGCCTGTGGCTGAGCTGCACCTCTTCCATCCTTGCAGAGGCCCTGGGCAGGCTCCTCCTAGCTAAGAGACCCCCCTCCTCTCCCCTCCCCAGCCCATGGCTCAGAAACCCTTTTTCCAGAGGGTGCACTTTACAGCGGTTTCATTTTCCGAGGCAGTGCAAACAAATTTCTGCCTAATTGCCCACAAACGAAGAAAGTGCACATCAGTGCTCTAAAGGTGACGGGCGGAATCGCTGATCAGGCCTGGCACATCTGTCGCCCGCCGCCCGCACTCCCCACCATCTGCTCTCACGGGCATCCCCCTGTGCAGCTCCCAGCCTCCAGCTCTGAAAGCCGTCCATCCATCTTCCCAACTTCTCTTCTGACACCTCCCTTCCCTCCGGCCCGACCTGTCCCCGGATCCCACCTCCTCCCCTGTCATGAGCCACCGTGTTAGGTCGTGAGCCAGCACCCTGCCCCCTGGCCCTAGCAGCTGGCTCTGGCCACTGGAGCAGCAAGAAGAATCCAGTGCCTGACATGGTACCGAGTACATATCTGTCCATCCATCCACCCACCTCTCCATTTAATTCTCTCATTTGCTTATCAGTTCCTAATTTATTCATCCAGTGAATCCTTCCATGTGCTAAATTATTCTAAGCACTGGGATTCATCAGTAAATGAAAGAGACTAAAAGCCCTGAGTCACTGGAAAGTTGGGATTGTCATCACTGAAATGGGGTGACTGAGGGCGGGAAGAGGGAACTATTATTATTTCAAATCTGGACACATTAAGTTCACAGTTGTCCTGGTCAACCCCAAGGACTTGCTGGGGAGGCAGCTGGGTGTACCATCTAGATTTCAGGGGAGAAGTCCAGGCTGGAGGTTGCAGTAGGGGAGTTGTCAGCCTCTAAATGGAATTTAAAGCCATGAGACGAGGAAAGCGCCAAGAAAGGGAGTGTGGATACCAAGGACTGAGTTCTGGGACATTTGGTGTCAGGAAGTTGAAGAGGAGAGGAAAACCCTGCTTAGAAGGTTGAGAACAAGTTACCAGTGAGGTAGGGGGAAGAAGAGTATGCAGAGTCCTGGAAGTCAAGTGAAGGAAGCCAAGAAGGGGCAAGTCCTTCACTCGCTCATCCTTGTACTTACCCGGGTCTCCATCCAATACTTCATTCAGTCGTTCATTCAACAAACACAGTTCATAGGCTTGTTGCGTACCAGGCACCACACTAGGGAAACTTTCCCTGGGGCCTCCAGGGCAATTTAAGTTGAGTATTTTGGGATGGGGCAAGCCCCACATGTTAACACAGCAGGATCTATGCTATGATGGAGCTGTGGTTCTCAAACCTGAGCTGCCTCGGCATCACTTGAGGGCCTTATTGAAACAGACTGCAGGGTGGGGAGGGGCACCCACCCAGTAGGTATAGGGTGGGACCTGAGAATTTACATTTCTAACAGGTTCCTAGGAGATGCTGATTTTGCTGGTCCGGGGACCAAGCCAGGGTGCTAGAGAAACCCCTCGCCAGGGGAGCCTGGAGGTGATGGCATTGAACCTGACCTGGAGCTCTCAGGGAAGGAGATATCTTGAGCTGAGACTCAAAGGGCTAACTGTGCCTAGAGCTTCTGGAGCAGACAGAGGAGGGTGCGAGTGAAAGAGAGGTCAGGGTCAAGGTCATTTTACTTCCTCCAGACCACAGCTGACCCCTTCCCACTCCCAAGCACCGAGAGACCTCACAGGGATGTATCTCTTCGAAGAGTTGAGGGTGGAGACCTCTGAGGTTGGGTCTAGCCCTCAGCATCCATGAAGTCTTTTAACACTGCTCTCTGTCCCCACACCACCCCCAGTGGTGATGTAGCCTTGATTTGCACACCTCCCAAGATGGGTAGCTCACTATCTATCCAGCTAGCCATCTCTGTTCTGACTGTGAGAAAGGTTTCTTTTGCACAGAACTCTAGGAAATTTGCATGAGCATTTAGGCTGAGCCAGCTCTGCTGGGGAGAAGGAAAGGGGTGGTCCCCGAATGCCCTGGGGGATGCTCGGCCCTTACTGGTCCCTTGCTGTCTCCCGCACAGTGCTGGTGCTGCTGATCCTCACCCTCAGGCGCCACCACAAGAGCCACCTGAGCTCGGACGAGGACGAGGACATGCGGGACAATGTCATCAAATACAATGATGAGGGCGGCGGCGAGCAGGACACCGAGGCCTACGACATGTCGGCGCTGCGGAGCCTGTACGACTTCGGCGAGCTCAAAGGCAGCGACGGGGGCGGCGTCGGGGGCCCAGGCGGGGGCACGGGGAGCCCTCCGCAGACTCACCTGCCCTCGGAGCGCCACTCGCTCCCGCAGGGGCCGCAGAGCCCGGAGCCGGACTTCTCGGTGTTCAGGGACTTCATCAGCCGCAAGGTGGCGCTGGCGGACGCGGACCTGTCGGTGCCGCCCTACGACGCCTTCCAGACCTACGCCTTCGAGGGCGCGGACTCGCCGGCCGCCTCGCTCAGCTCGCTGCACAGCGGCTCGTCGGGCTCCGAGCAGGACTTCGCCTATCTCAGCAGCTGGGGCCCGCGCTTCCGGCCCCTGGCCGCGCTCTACGCCGGCCACCGCCCGGACGACGAGGCCCAGGCCTCCTAGCCTGCCCTCCCTGCCACCTAGGACCCGACTGGACCCCAAGACAAAGCACGTCCCCTGTTCACCCCCTTTCCCAGCCCTCCCAACCTCCCAAGGCGGCCGGACAGGAGGAGGGACTTGTTGGGGGGCAGACTCCCCGACCGCCTCCCTTCCTGGGGGTGGGATGGGGGCAGCTTGCACCCAGAGGTGCGGGAATTATGACCAACATCATTAAAACTGCAGCGAGAACGGGCACCGCGTGGCTCTGGGGTTAGACAGGGAGATAGGGCCGTGTGGCTCCCTCCTGCCTTGGGGGAGAAGCCTGGAGGTAGGACGCTGCTGAAGGGAGGACATACCTCCCCAGGTACCCTCCATCAGTTAAGAGGAGGGACAGGCTGTTCATTTACTAAGCGCCTACTGTGTGCTGGGACACTGTACAGAGACCATCTTAGTTGTCATAGAAACCATGAGGTGGAGCCCCGCAGGTAACAGATGGAGAAAGGCACCTGAGAAGTGGCTGTGCCCTGTCCAAGGACACCTTGCCGGTATACAGTGGAGCCATGACACTTACTGGCTACCTGGCCTTGGACAAGTTTCTTGACTTCTCTGGGCCTCAGTTTCCTCCTGTGTCAAACGAGGCAAATAACAGAACCTACCTCGAAGAACTGTGAAGATAGGTTTCATGCGTGTCAAGTGGTTAGGACAGTGCCTGGCACATAGTAGGTGTTCAATAAATGTTAGCCTTTGATACTGTTTTTATCTTTGTCGTTATTAGAAGCCCAGCATCCCCCAGCATCTGCCTCCCTGATCTGAGCTCTCTCCCCTTTTTCCTAGCATCTCGGGGCGGGGGGGATAGTCTTATCGGTGTCACTCCTGCTTCAGGTGGGGGATAAGGAAGTTCCTAGTGACTGGAGAGTCTTCCAGAGTCTCAGGTGACACTGGAATAGGACACCTAGCAGGGGTGCCAAAAGAGGACAAGCTGGAAAGTTCCAGGACTTGGATGAGGTGGGAGGGTTGGGTTGGTGGGAGATGGAGGGGTTGGACACCACTGGATGTGATGGGATCTTGTTTGGCCCAGAAACCCAGCAGTCTTGCCATCCATGGACCCCTAAGGCTAAGTCATCTCTAAAAGCCTCCAGCTCTAAAACCATTTGACTATAGGGTTTTTGTCTTGCACCCCACCCCCCAAGTGATTCATTCATTCCACGTTGATTGGCTGTGAACTCTAGCTCCTGTGAGGCAGGGCTCCTTCATCAAGGTCCTTAACTGCTGAAGCCTCAGTTTCCTCATCTGTAAAATGGGGCTAATGATAGTCCCATAAAGGGTTTTTGAGGGGCTTAAAGGAGATAATGAATGTTAAGCTCTGATCTCAGTGCCTTTCTGCCACATTGAAAATGCTCAATAAATGTTCATTCGCCTTACTTTTTTTTACCCTCCCAAGAAGCATTCATTCATTCCCTCCACATTTGCCAAGGTCCACTGTGACAGATGCAGATATAGTTATTATTTCCTGAGTGCCTTACCTGTATTGTCTCATCTAAGTTAGCTACTGTCAGCCCCAGTTCACAGGTGAGGAAACTGAGGCTCAGAGAGGAGTAACCCCGACCAGGTTACACAGAGCATAAGCAGTTCCTGCCTTCTAGGAACTCAGGACCCAACTGGGTGGGGGCTGGAGGCAGGGGTACCAGAAGCAGCCAGTAGTAATGCACTGGGTAAGAGTTGTAGCAGAATTAGCCAAACAGGATCGTGGAAACACAGAAGAAAGATTGAATAAATCCAGTTGGAGGAGGTGACTCCAACTGGATCTTGAAGAATGAATATGAGATGTTCGAGATGGCCAAGCAAGCAAGAGCATTCCAGGCAGAGGGGCATTGGCAAAGGCTGGGGGCAGCATGAAGATACAGTGGCTTCAGAAGTGGTGTGTGGTCCCCGGGGCTGAATTACTGGGTAGAGGAATAGTAAGATGTGAGCAGGAAAGGCTGGTTGGAGGCGGGCTGGGAAAAGACCTTGAAGGCCAGGTCAAGAAACTTGATGCTTTGCTCAACTTGACCATGTCTCCTAAAGTGCATTGAGGGATATGGGGTTAGTGTGGTCAGCCCAGGTAGAAGCACATTGGGTCCCTGATCCATATATGAGACAACCTATAGTTCCCATAGCACATGCTATGAATGGGTATTGTAACTTGGGGGCCAGTGGAGAGACTGTGATCCCCTCTCTCACCCATGTGTGCCCAACTCTCACAAACAAAATCCCAACAAGTCTCAGGTTGGTTACTGCTATCTCCATTGTAGAGAGGGAAACGGAGGCCCAGACCCAGAGGAGTAAAGTGCCTGGCTCCAGGTCACCCACCTGGTAGGGGACAGAACTGGGACAACACAGGATCTCTGATTCCAAGTCTCCGTTCCATCCACATGTGCCAGTTGCCTTGAAAGATTCTGACCCTGCCAAGAGGGAGGTTACAACCAGGTTACGCATCCAGAGGGACATACAAACACAGAATCACAAAGACCCTTGGACATCTTGTCCAAACACCATCCACGGGGAATGACTTTCTCAAGGTCACACAGAGTTAAAGATCTTGCCAGAAATAAAAAACATTATTTATCCAGATTCACCTTTTGAGCCTCTGGCACTTCCGTTTTCCAGCTGTGTGACCTTGGACAAGTTGTTTACCCTCTCTGTGACTCTGTTTTCTTCTTCATAAAGTGCATGCGCTAGGACACCTTCGCCGTAAGGTTGTAATGAGGATAAAATGCAGTAATAACTGCTAACGCTTAACCAAGCATTTCCCACACACCAGACACTGCTTTAAATACTTCATGTGAATTAACTCATTTAATCCCTCACCCACTCAATGAGGCAGCCCTCATTTTATAGGTGAGAAACTGAGGCACAAGGAGGTTAAGTAGCTTGCCCAAGATCTAACAGCTAATAAGTGGAGATGCCAAGATTCAACAGGGGCACTCTCGCCCCCAGAATCTATACCACCTCCAGCATGCACAGTGCCTGGCCCCGGAAGCACTGGACATGTGACCTGGGTATATCCGATGTCACCACCTGTGCCCTGGGAGAGCCTAGTCCTCCACTCGCCAGCACATTCTGCAGCCTGTGCCAGTCCTCAGGCCTCCTGATGACTTATGCCGATCCAGGGGTGAGGATGGAGGGATAGGGAACGCTCCTCAGTCCCCTCTGCTTCCAGCTCCTGCACCCGCACTGCCCCTGAGCCAACCCAGGAGGGAGATGGGTATGTCTGGCTTCTTCGCTGAGTTCCACAAGGTATCCACAAATGCCAAGTGTTTTATGAGCTTTGTACATTTTCCTGATGATTTGAGGGTCACAAACAAGGCTCTCATCATGCGTACACAGCCTTTGGACACCTGTCTCATTGGTTCTCACCAGCTGGAGGGAACTGGAGCTCCAATTCCTCTCCCTGTGTCATGCAGAGAGCACAGCCACCTTGGTTCCAGGCTCTAATTGGGCACACCCAACCCTATCAAGAAGCTCAGAAAACAAAAAGCCTTCCCTTTACCAGGTCTGCCCTCCTTTCAAGGCATCTGGGAACGTGAAGCGAAAAAAAAAATCATCTTTTATTGTCATCATCTTGGTCACCGTCATTGGTACAGGATAAAAAGAGCATTCAGGGTCATGAGCAAGAATGGGTGTATAATTGGCCAAGAATTTTAGAACCAGGGATATTAATGACAATGACAATGATGGTAATAATGATGATGACAGCACATTTACATGGCGCTTGCTGCATGCCAGGCACTGTTCGAAGCACTGTACATAATTATTACTAATACAGGTAAAGCCCATGGAGGGTGGACTCTACTGTGTTTAGCGCTTTACTTAAGTTGCCTTGTTTAATTTTAAGCAGGCACATCATTAGCCCTGTTTTACAGATGAGGAAGCCAGTACTCGCAGATGGGGAGGGGCTAGCTCAGGGACGCCAAGCTTATAAAGAACAGGACCATTTCACACACACCCCACCACGATTCTGCGCAGAACCAGGGCAGCTCGGATTCAGAGTGGAGTTTCTGGGGGAGTGTGGGGGGGGGGAGAGAAGCAGTTGGTGAGAAGGGGAGGCTCTTCAGACAAATGGCAGAGCTGGGGAGCAAGTTGGAGGTGGGGCCGAGGCCGCAGTCCAAGCCAGGGTCTGCATCTCTATTATGTACCAACGTGTGTGTGTCTGCACGTGGTTGTGGGCAGGCACTAGGGAAGTGGGATGCCAGCGCTGAGCGCACAGGTCAAGAACTAACCTCCCACCTCCTGCTTCAGGCAGCTCAGAGAGCCGGCTGCTGTCATAGGAGGCGGCTGAGCGCTGCATCCGTCAGCCAGCCGTCATTGCTGCCCACCCCCAGGTCACGAATCAGCAACTCCACTTACCTCCTGCCAGCAAGCGCTCTCAGGCCAGCTCTGTCACTGGCCGCTGAGCCTTTGGAAAATGTAATCCTGTCAGCCCTCACTCAGAGGCAAGTGGGTTCACGCTTCAGTGCACGCACACCGGGGTACCAGCACGCCCACATACTCAGGCCAGCACGTGATGTAGGCACGTGTGTTATCTTCAGACATGTTCCTAGCTGGGTGCACAGTGCAGCCACATGCATGCTCCCAGCCACACACACTGGGCATCCCTCTGTAGGTCTGCCAGCATGGTCACGGGCCCACGCATCATGCACGTACTCAGGACACACTCTCATGTATGCACTCACATTTGTCCACAAAGCATACACGTGCCTTCTTCACCTGTGTTCTCTTACATGCACGTACATGTGTGTCCACTGATACTCTTCCAGGAGCCAACACATTTCTCCATTCAGGCATGCATCATACACATTAACAAGCATGTGTGTCCCCAGACACTCCCATGCAAGTGCATGGTACACATATGCATATCCTCTCAGATGTGCCCATGCACATGAACTAATAGCACACTTTCATAATGCATATGCACATTTGCACGCATGCACAGGAAGATATGTGTAGCCTCAGGAACCATCAGTTACAAACTCTAAATTCAAGTACATGATGCCCATAGATGTGTATGCACGTGTGAGCACAGAGGTCTGTGTGTATATAATACACATGATCACTTACAGGATCCAAACAAACAGACATCCTCCAGCAAGCGCTTGGATCTACACCAAGGACAGACATCCCTGCAATGATAGATACTCCCACACGTCTGCCTGCCTACACTGACGTACCTCCACTTCCACACCACGTGTCCTCAGGCACCCCAACACCTCTGTCCACGTGCGCCTTCAGGATGACCCACCATGGTTCACCCACAGCCATGCCATGTGTGTCTGACTCCACACATAAGCAGACACACACACAGACACGTGCCACCAAAGCCCGTCTTCCGCACATGAGTGGGGTCAGAGCCCTGGCACTTGGGTGCACACAGACCCCCTCTGGGGAGCCACCTGTCCCAGCCCCAGATTGTCAGGTGTGCTGGGGACAGCAGGAATGGTACCCACACACAGAAATCGCCACTCACGCAGAATTGCATCTGCCTCAAACTTCTCATCTGCTGTGCAAATGATGATTAAATGTTATTGTGCAAGAGAAAACGGCAAGGAGGGATTCATTAGCTTTATTGTCAGAAAGGACTCCATGGGCTCCAGCTCCCAACTCCAAGGCTGGCTTAACCCCCTGTGTGCTGGCGGCACTGGGCTCAGATGTGGGCTTTCAGAGAATGAAGTTCCTGGAGACAGAGGTTCCAGCGCTGGGCCCACGTGAGCC